AGATACCTAGGGATAAACCTAAATAAGGAAGTCAAAGACCTTTAGAAAGAAAACTATGAAAATCTTAAAAAAGATATTGAAAATTACACAAAACAGTGGAAGGACATTTCATGTTCCTGGATTGGAAGAATTCATATAATCAAAGTGGTGGCAACTCTACCCAAATTAATCTACATATTTAACAAAATTCCAATCAATATACCAGAGACATTCTTCACAGATCTAAAAAAGACAATCATAGAATTTGCCTGGAATCATAAAATATCCCATATTGCAAAAGTAATTCTGCAAAAGAATAGTGGAGTGGGTGGTACCTCACTCTCTGACCCCAAACTATACTATAAAGCTGTGATAATCAAACAGCTTGGTATTGGCCCAATACCACACAAGTGGACTGATGGAACAGAATAAAGGCCCCAGGAATAAACCTCAAAACGTACAGTCAACTGATTTTTGTAAAAGGATACCAGTCAATCCAGTGGTAAAAGGAAAACCTCTTTATCAAATGGTGCTAGAAAAGACTAGATATCTACGTATCCACCTGCAAAAAGAGGAAATTGAACTCCATCTTTCATCATTAACAAAAATCAACTCAAAGTGGATTAAAAATTTGAACCTAAGACTTAAAATTATAAAACTGCTGGTGGAAAACACTGAGGAAACTGGGAGACATTGAATAGGCAAAGATTTTTAAAATAAGACTCTCAAAGCACAGTAGATAATCCCTAAAGTAGAAATGTGGGAGTATATTAGATTAAGAAGTTTCTGCACCTCAAAAATGCAGTGTCGATTGACAACTCTCAAGAGTGGGAGAATATTTTTGTAAACTATGCTTCCAATAGGGACCGATAACCAAAATACACAGGGAATTCAAGCTGCTTTCCTGAACACAAATGATTCACCCAATTAAAAGATGGAAAAATGTGGTGAACAAAAATCTCTCTAAGGAAGACATATCAACAGCTATAAAGCATATAAGGAAATGATCAACATCCCTCATCATAAGGCAAATGCAGATTAAAACCACAATCAGATACTACCTAACCCCTGTCAGAATGGCAAAGATTAAAAATACAAAAGGGGGGGACTAGCAGTTAGCGTAATGGCTATGTCGTTGGACTCCCATGTAGTCGACTGTGGTTCGTGTCCCGAACCCGGTGGCTTAAAACACAAGCCGGGTGCATGTGCATGTGTGCCCAAGATCCCGAGAGGAGACTGGAAGAGAAGGGACTGCGGCGTGGCCATCCCCCCTGGGGGGTGATTTCTCGCTTTCTATCTCTCTGTCTCTATCTGTCTGTCTGGCGAGCGCATGCGCCCTATAGCAAAAACCTCTAAAAAAAATAATACAAAAAAGGATAAGTGTTGACCTGGTTGTTCTGAAAGCAGAACTCTCCTACACTGTTGGTAGGAATGTAAATTGTCCAGCCACTGTTGTAAACAATATATGGAGGTTCCTCAAAGATCTAAAAATAGAACTACCATTGATCTAGCAATCCCACTTCTGGGTATCTATCCAAAGTCAAGAGAATGCTCAGTTAGAAAAGTGTTTGGATATCAATGCTTATTATGGCATTATTCATGAGTGCTAAGGCATGGAACTAGCTCAAATGTCCATGAACAGATGAATGGATTGAAAATGTGTGGCCCATATAATTTATGGAATACTATTCAGCCATTATAAAAATAAGACCTGGCATTTGATAGAATGTGGTCTAATATGAAAGATGTATTTCTGAGTGAAGGAAGCAAGGTCACAAAAGAAAGATATTGTATGTATCTACTTAATATATACTGACTATCCATGCTTTATGGTAGAGATTAAAATATTGGAGGACATAAAAGCAGTGAAAATAGTTATGGTTGCTGAAGACAGTGTGGAAGGAAGAGGGAAGAAGGGAAGCATATAGAGAAGGAAATCATGGAGAAAAAATAGAGGCATGACATTTGTGGGACCCATTACTGATTTATAACCTGTTAATTATAACATGTATAATATTCTCAACTGGCCTGGTCTGAGAAGTATTTCATGTTGGGTAAATTCTCTTTATAAGCCAAATAATGTATAGTGATTGAATGTTTAAAATAATAATAATAATAAATGTAAAATAAGAGAAATTAGACAATCATGGAAGATTTAATCCTAATCAAAGCAAATCAGACTATGAAAGATAGGCATTGTACATCCCTACTTAATATATACCAAATGTCTGCACTCTACAGGATAAACTAAAATATTCGAAGTTATAAAACCATAGAGAACAACTGTGGATACTAAAGACAGTGTGGGATGAGGGAGAGAAATGTGGCAAGGGGTATTCAAGGAAAAAAAATATAGCAAAACATTTAAGTAATAGAAAAAAAGAAAATTTCCTGTCGATGATAATGTGTATGGCTAATACACTGTATAATATAATATACAGTGTATTCAGGCTGGGAAAATTCATTTTGCATGCTGTATGTATATATACAGTGATGAAATATTAAAAATACAGGGAGAGAAATGTGGCAAGGGGTATTCAAGGAAAAAAAATATAGCAAAACATTTAAGTAATAGAAAAAAAGAAAATTTCCTGTCGATGATAATGTGTATGGCTAATACACTGTATAATATAATATACAGTGTATTCAGGCTGGGAAAATTCATTTTGCATGCTGTATGTATATATACAGTGATGAAATATTAAAAATACACAAATAAAAGAAACAAAAATAAATCTGGGACATTTCACATAAAAGTCTTGAAATTCTGTTTTTCTTTAAATATTAGGAGGTCTGAACTATGACCTCATTGTTAAGAGTCCCAAATCCCACATGGCTTACTGTTCAGTTTGAATCCTCAATCCAGTGGCTTGAAAAACAAGTCAGGTACATGTGTGTACATGCCCAAAATGCTTACAAGGATGAGGAAATGGAGAGATGGGATTGCAGTGTTACTATATTGTTTTGGTGGGTGCTTTCACCCTTTCTATCTCTCTTTCTATCTCTCTCTGGTGAGTGCATGTACCATCTGGCAAATTTTAAAATAATAATAAAAACTAGACTTTCTAATACTCAGCTGGAGTTGAGTAGCAGCTCTTCTTCTTCAGATGGGTATGTACCCTCTGGTTTGACACAATTACCAGCAGGTCTGCATAATGTGAACATATTTTTCTATTGTGAACAAAGGTAGTTGTAGGCTTAGATGATATTGAGCTCCAAAAGCCTGCTTTTGTTTCACTTAGTTTACAGTGCTTTTGTGCTTGTCCATGCTCAATAAAACATGAGGCTTTAGTAGTAAGGGAGTGTTGCTTTAGTGTTATGACTTCCCAATTATAAAGACTCCCACATGCTTTCTAGAGATGATGCCTATTCAGAAGACACTAAGCTGTGTTTTTCTAGGCTGATTTAATAAAATTTGCCTTAAAATAGGAACAAGACATACGGATAAAAACTATAAATAAGGGAGCAGCAGGTGGTGTGATAGTTAAGGCACTGTACTCCCACATGACCGGCCACAGTTTGGGTCTCGGATCCAGCAACTTGATACATGATAGGATGTGTTCATGCATGCCCCCAAATCCCAGTAGAATAGAGAAAAAGAGATTGTGTCATGGCCGTCCTCCCAGGAGGTGATTTCTCACTTCCCCTGTCACTGTCCTCACTGTCTCTCTCTTTCACCAGTGAGTACATGTGTCCTATGGCAAAAACCAATAATAATAATAATAATAATAATAATAATAATAAAACTATGAATGAGACCTCTGTCCATGAGTATAAATAAGTCTTTGTTTTAATACTCTTGTTCATCTTATCTCTTATCTCTCAAAGAATGTGTGTGTGTGTGTGCGTGTGTGTGTGTGTGTGTGTGTGTACTGAGAATAGAATGGCAGTGGGCAGACCTGTGTGTATTCTGTGGTGAGCTTTCAGGTGAGAACTTTTGGTGTATACTTTGCTGCATCCTGCAAAGTCACATTGGTGAATCCGTCTTCTCTTCAAGTCAAGTGCCTTTTCTCCCTGAATTTGTGCCATCACTGCTGGTCTAAGCAAAGAAAGGGAGATAGAGATAAAGAATGACTTTAGGGTGGAGACTAAAGAAATAGACTTACATACATTGATACTACTTCATATTTTAAAAAAAATTTTACTTTGTTTGTTCAATCACTATACCTCACTTACTTATAAAGTGAATTTACCTGACATGAATATACTTCACACAGCCCAGGAGAGGATACTATCAATGTTATGATCAACAGATAATCATTCACGTCTGTGTCCCATAATGTCTTGCCTCTCTATTTTTCTCCTTGATTACTTTCTTCACAATTTTCCCCTTCTCCCACCCTATTACCACACTGTCTCCAGTATCTATAACCAAATTCTATGCTTCTATATCCTCTAATCATTCAGTTTCTGCAATAGAGTGCAGACAGTCCCTGTATGTGAAGAGAAAATATACAATGTCTCTATTTCATAGTGTGGCTTCCTCCACTCAGCAGTAAATTGTCCTATTCATCTACTTTCTATCAAATATCAGGGTCTTATTGCTTTTTATGGTTGAGTAGAGTTCATATGCCACATTATCTCAATCCATTCATCTGTTCATGGACATTTGGTTTAGTTCCATGGCTTAGCAATTGTGAATAATGCTGCAATAAACAGAAATGCAGGAACTTTTCCAACTGAGCATTCTTTTAGGTAGATACCCAGGAGGGGAATTTCCTGGAATAAATGGTAGTTCTATTTGTAGATATTTGAGGAATGTCCATATTGTTCTTTACAGTGGCTGGACCAATTTATTTCCCCACCAAGAGTGTATGAGAGTTCCCCTTTCCTTCAGGCCTGCTAGCACTTAGCATTTTTTTGTTTGTTTGCCATCCTGACAGGGGTTAGGTAGTAACTCATTATGGTCTTGATCTGCATCTCCCTTATGATAAGGGATGTTGAGGGATTTTTCATATGCTTTTTGGCTATTTTTATGCCTTCCTTAGACAGTTGTTTGTTCACCTAATTTTACTCTCTTTTAATTAATTTGAGCTTTTTTTTTCAGATAAGTTGTTTGAACTCGCTATTTGTTCTGATAATCAGTCCCTCACCTGAGGCATAATTTACAAAAAATATTCTCCCATGCCAATGGTTATGGATTCCCACTAAGTACTGGGTTTTTGCTGTCCAGAAATTTCTTAATCTCATGTGATCCCACTTGTCTATTTTGGGGATTACTGTCTGTGCTATGGAGGTCCCATTTAAGAAGTTGTTGCCTACTCCAATGTCTCCAAGAGTTTTTCTTGTGTTATCAACCAGTAGTTTTATAGTTTGAGGTCTTAGGTTTAGATATTTGATCCACTTTGAGTTGATTTTTGAGTTTCTTGTTCTTAATGGTAAAAGATGGGTGTCCAGATTCTTATCTGCAGCTGGATACTCAGTTTTTCTAGCACCATTTGCTAAAGAGGTTTCATTTTCCCACTGGATTGACTGGTATCCTTTTACAAAAATCAGTTGACTGTAAGTTTGGGGGTTTATTCCTGGGGCCTCTATTCTATTCCATTGGTCCACCTGTGTGTTTTCTTGCCAATATCAAGTTATTTTTATAATCACAGATTTATAGTATATTTTGGGGGTCAAAGGGTGAGATGCTGCCCATTCCATTTTTCTTGGACAGGATTTTTTTTGGCAATATGAGGTCTTTTATGATTCCAGATAAATTATATGATTGTCTTTTTTAGATCTGTGAAGAATGTCTCTGGTATATTGATTGGAATTTTGTTAAATATGTAGATTAATTTGGGTAGAGTTGCCACCACTTTGATTATATGAATTCTTCCAATCCAGGAACATGAAATGTCCTTCCACTGTTTTGTGTAATTTTCAATATCTTTTTTAAGATTTTCATAGTTTTCTTTCTAAAGGTCTTTGACTTCCTTATTTAGGTTTATCCCTAGGTATCTTTTACATTTTGTGGCTATAGTAAAAGGGATTCCTTTCTTTAGGTGTACCTTGTTCAACTTGTTGTTCATATATAGAAACGCTATAGATTTTTTGGATGTTGATTTTGTATCCTGACACTTTACTGTATTCATTTCTTACTTTGAGTAGTTTTTTCATGGAAACCTTTGGGTCTTCTAAGTATACCATCATGTCATCTGCAAATAAAGATATTTTCAACTCTTCTTTGCCTATTTGAATGCCTTTTATATTATTCTCTTTTCTGATTGCATTGTATAAGACTTACAGTACTATATTGAAAAGAAATGGAGAAAGTGGGCAGCCTTGTCTAGTACCAGTTTTCAGTGGAAAACCTTTTAGCTTTTCCCCATTCGGTATAATGTTAGCCATAGGTTTTTTACATATTACTTTTATTCTTTTGAGAAATGACTCTTCTGTGCCAATCTTGCTAAAATTCTTACTGATGAGAGGATGTTGTATTTTATCAAATGCTTCTCTGCATTAATTGAAATGATCATATGGTTTTTATCTTTCTTTCTGCTAATGTGGTGTAGTATGTTTATGGTCTTGCATATATTGATCCACACTTGCATCCCTGGGATAAAACCTACCTGGTCATGATGAATAATCTTTTTTAATGTTGTTGGTTGGTCCCATATATTGCTTTTTCATATATTACTTTTATTGTTTTTATATATTGCTTTTATTGTTTTTATAAATGACGCTTCTATACCAATCTTGCTAAGAGTCTTGAAGAAGGAATGTTGTATTTTATCAAATGCTTTCTCTGCATTGATTCAAATGATCATATGGTTTTTTAAATCTTTTTTTCTGCTAATATGGTGTATTATGTTTATGTTCTTGTGTGGGTTGAACCATGTTTGCATCCCTGGAATACCTGGTCTTGTGGAATAATCTTTTATATATGTTGTTGGATGTGATTTGCAGCAAGTATTTTGTTGTGAATATTTGCAACTATATTCATCTGAGATATTGGTCTTTAGTTTTCGTTTTTTTTGTCATGTCTTTATCTGTTTTGTGAATGAGGATGATGGAGGCCTCATAAAATGAATTTGGGAGGTTTCCTTCCTTTTAGGTCCTTAGAAATAATTTGAGTAGGGTGGGAGTTAACTCTTCTTGAAAAGATTTTTTTTTCTGTTAAATATCTTTTAAAGATAATTTATTTATTTTTACATTTTCCCAGAAACATTTCTTGTGTGGGTTGAACCATGTTTGCATCCCTGGAATACCCTGTCTTGTGGAATAATCTTTTATATATGTTGTTGGATGTGATTTGCAGCAAGTATTTTGTTGTGAATATTTGCAACTATATTCATCTGAGATATTGGTCTTTAGTTTTCGTTTTTTTTGTCATGTCTTTATCTGTTTTGTGAATGAGGATGATGGAGGCCTCATAAAATGAATTTGGGAGGTTTCCTTCCTTTTAGGTCCTTAGAAATAATTTGAGTAGGGTGGGAGTTAACTCTTCTTGAAAAGATTTTTTTTTCTGTTAAATATCTTTTAAAGATAATTTATTTATTTTTACATTTTCCCAGAAACATTTACTTTACATATTAAAAAATTTTTGCTCATACTCCATAGGTCTTGACTGGTAATGAACAACTTTTAAAGTTTCAGAAAACTGAGTTTTAAAGATAATGTTCAAAATATTTTATTATTTTTTGTGACTCTAACAGAGATAGTATGACATGAAATATTTTTGAGAAAATATTTGCATATCAACTACTCCAACTGTTGAAAAGCAAATGCCCATCACATAAGTCACACATAAACTTTATCAATTCTGCCGTGCCTACCAAATATTCTGTGATATACCATCTACTAGCAAAGATCAGTACCTTTTTCTTCCTTCAAAGTCTTTCTCAAGATAATCCTCTGGTTGTGGCTGTTCCTTTGCAATCTCTACTCATTACAATGCTGGGCTGGAAAAGTCTAGGTTATTTTATGGTACAAATTATTTCAAATAGTTTCTCTAATCCTCTCTGTCAGGCAGAACTATTTATGGTGCATGGTCATCTCTCCAAAAGATTCTGTTGGCTTACATGAGATCTACCTTAGTTCCATAGTTTTGTGGTTAATCTTCAGATATGACATTCCAGTCAAAGCCCTGTCCAATAGCAAGTATTTCCAACTTGTGATTCAATGCAACAGGTATTCCTGAACTTACGCAAATGACCCTTTTGCCACAAAATAAGAATACTCCCAAATATTTTCCAATTCTATAGGGGTCAGGAAATAATAAAAGTATATGTTTCCATTTAGAGAAATAAACAAGAAAAAATATTTTAACAAGTTGATGAATCTATTAACAGCTCAAAAGAAAGCAAAATCCTTAAATTGGGAAAACAAAGCCAAATTTTAAAAATCAGTAATGTTATACTCAAGTCATAAAATCTATTTCACTAGTTCAGTCTTATGTTCAATCTCTCTTCTGTTGAATCTGCAGTGTAACTGTGGTCCAATCTTTCTGCTTACATCCTTGAAGTTAACATTCAACATTATTATTGATATTTCTTGTCCCTACCAATAAATTGGTCTTTTTTTGGTTACTTTTTGTTTTCCTATTTCTGTATGTGTGTCTTTAGTTTTCCTGGTAGAGCACTTCTTTCAAAATTTCTTGAAGAGTGGGTGTGCTATTGGTATCTCTCCTTTTCACTTTAGCAGTCTTTGCTTCATGTATTTAGGTACTCTCTAGTTGGATACATAGATATTTATAAGTGTTATGTCTTTTCTACGACTTAGCCTATTTCCTACTATATAATGCCCTTTTTCATCTCTTTTTACAGTTTTTGTCTTAAAGCCTATTTAGTTTGACTCCAGCCCTTTTTTTTAATTTCTCTTTGCATGCAATATCTTTTTCTAGCCCTTTACTTTTAGTCTATGTATGTCTTTATCTGTAAGGTGCATTTCTTGTAGGCATAGGTAGAGGGTTTCTGTATTTTTATCCATTCAGCCAGTCTGTGACTCTTGATTGGAGATTTTATTCCATTAACATTCAATATTATTATTGACATTTCTGGACATATTCCTATCATTAGGCGAGTCATTTTCTTGTTATTTTGTTGTTGTTGTTGT